GCGATATGAAGATGGCACAAGTTAGCTTGCTTAAGTGAACAAGGATTGAAGCACTTGCTGATGAAGAACAAGGATTGCAGACTTTAGTACGGATTACACCCAATGTAAAGATCAAAATCCTCACAACTGGACCAATAGTTAACATCACGATAAATGGAAAAATGGCTAAGGTTGCCAAGAATTTGGTCTCGTTTGGCTCCACAATCAATGCTCATGGAAGCAGCAGTCAAGAGATCAAAGGACATGTTATATTACATTAATCTGTTGCAGAAAGCATCTTTAGATTATTGAAAAATAAGGATGGTACTTGGATGACGAAGATGCGCCTGACTCAAGCCGTGGTATTTGTCTTCACTTCTTATGGGTGTGAAAGTTTAACATTGAATAAGGAAGGCGAAATCAGAATCAAAGCATTTGAATTTCGGTCTGGAGAAGAATATTTAAATTCCCATGGACTGCTAAAAGACAAGCCTATCTATCTTGGAAGACATATGGCCAGCGTGATCCTTAGAGGCAAGGATGACAAGACTTGGTCTTACATACTTTGGACATATTGCCCAAAGTGACTAGTCCTTGGAGAGGCACATCATGCTTTTACTGCACAGTAAAAGAAGAAGGCCCTCAATGAGATGGATTTACCTGTGGCTGCCACAATGGGCTAAGGCATAGGAACAACTCATTGTAAGCATGGTGCAGGACAGGGAAGGATTTTGTTCTGTTGTGCATAGAGTCATTCTGGGTCAGAAGGGACTTGATGGTACATAACAACAACAATAGGGTAGACAACGATATTATTCTAATAAATAAATATGTATTCACCGTATATATATACATATATATTACATCAACCCAAACTCACTGTCATTCAGTTGATTCTGACTCATGGCAACCCTATAGGACAAAGTATAAAACTCCCTGTGAGTTTCCAGGACTGTAACTTTTTACAGGAATAGAAAGCCTCATCTTTCTCCCAAGGAGCAGCTTGGGATATTGATATTTATATTTATATGAATATAAAACCTCTAATGGATAAAGTATATGAATACACAATTTACAGGACAGGAAATATAGAAATGAAAGTTACTTACAATAAGGTGCCCAAACTCTGAGACAATTAGTAGGTGCAAAAATAAGCAATAATGGGATATCTATCTATTTATCTAATATTCTGGCAAAAATTTTAAAATTGGATAATGCCAAATATTGGCGGGAATTTGAGGACAGAAGAAACCTCATTCTCCACAGGAGGGAACAGTCATACTGGAAAGCCAACTTGTACTACCTGAAAAATTAGGCTCATACATAACCTATCGTACAGCAATTTCTACTTCCAGCAAAATCTACAAAGAAATATGTTCAAATCTGTGCCTTATAACACTGTTGGAAATAGATGCTAAAAGACCACCTGGGTGTCTTTCCATAGAATAGTTAGTAAATTAACAGCTCCATTCTCAAAAGTAGTTTTAAATAGCTACATGTAACTATGTAAATTTAAATTGGAAACAAGTAAAGTTAAATAGAATAAAAGTTTCAATTCCTCAATCACATTTGTCAGTGGCAGTCAAGTCATTTCTGACTAATGGTGATCTTATATAGAATGGAACAAAAATGTGCGGAATCCCATACCATCTTTCAGTGCTATATAAGGCAATATTCTAATACAACCCATAAAGTTTTCAATGGCCAATATCACAATTAGATCACCAAGCCTTCCTTTCTTGTGTATTGTAATCTGGAAGATCCACTGGAACTGACCACCAAGGATGGCTCTGGGGGCATTTGCCATTCTGGCAGCATAGGTTGTTGCTACTGGCAATTACATCAAGTGGATTCCAACTCATGGGAACTCCACATGCTCAGAGTCAAACCATTCGTAGAGGTTTTAGGGCTGTGACCTTCTAAGAGTGGATCATCAGGCATGTCTTCCGAGCTGCTTCTCGGTGGATTTGAACCACCAACCTTTTTGCCAGTAGCGTAAGTGCTTCGCCATTTGACTGCCTGGTGAGTTCACTAATATATATTAATCCAAGTATGTCTTTTAAGTAAAAATAAATTAACATATGTATTTTAAGTGTAGCAGAATAAAGCATAAGGAGAAAATGAGAGAAATAAAGCCATACATGTTTTTTGTTCAGAGGAATTTTAAAGATCATTAATTATACAACCTTGTCTAACAAATGAGGAGATCAAGATTCTGATCCTAGAAGGCATGTGCCAAACTCCCAACAGCATCATCAGTGAAGCTGAGAAGGCAGCTTAAATCCTCCGATACCCGAGTCAAAGCATTTGATTTTATGTACTGTGGGAAAAAAGGGATTTTAATCTGCTTATACAAGAACAGGTAGACTCTCTGAGTATACCCTATGGTTGTAGCATTTAGCAGGCAGATTATGGTACATTGTTTTGTAGAACCCAAGCACCATCCTTCTTCATAAGTACTTTCTGTCTGGCTATTCAGCTTCCTCACTGAACCACACTGTCTGAATGTAATATTACAGTTAAGTTGTGGAAAAGGCTCATTCAGAATTTGTATGGGTTATTAATATTTATAAGCAGTACTTTGGCACCATTTTGGCCCTTAGCAATATGCCTATACATACTATACACTTAGTAAATATGTGTTGAATTAATACATTGTGCTTGTTATTCTAGGAAGAATCACACAATGGATAGATCATTATTTCTACAATAAAGAATTTGGAGCGTGAGTCAAATACACAACAGAAGGTAATACAAAAAAAACTTCTATGAACACTCCCAAAAAGAGAGAGAAATTCAAAGGCAGGAGAGATCAAAAATGATATGCCAATGGGACTTGAATGTGATGGGGAGAAATGAGAAATTAGAGCTATAGCATTCATAACAAAGAATGTCAATTTATGACAGAACAGCTTGTGCAATGGAGTGAGAGTACAAAAACGCAGGAGACCACAGAGCTCCTTCTTTGAGCTGAAGTGGAAAGCATGGCAGAGAATCAGAAATGAGGCAAGCAGAAAAGACTAGACAAAGAGGAGGGAAAAGTGGCATACAAATACTGGTCACCATGTGTCTCGGTTCTTCTGGGAAAGTTCTGGTTCATGACTTCTGCCCTAGAATGATTACTAACGCTTCCTGTTCACTCTCAATATGTCTTGGTTTTCACAATGAAGTGTGTGATCTCCCTACATATAGGGAGAAACAGGCTCTTAATAGTTACCAGAGATGCCTCTGGTAAGGGCTTCCTCATTGTATATATGTTAAATACATGATATACTTGAATAAATATTTTTATAATATTGTATCTATAAGTGTAGCCTATTACCATCTAATCCATTGGGTCTTAAGGTGACCTGGTATGTCACCGAATAGAACTATTCCATGGTAATCGTTGGCCGCAATCTTTATGGAAGCAAATCAACCCATAGAGACCGTCTGACAGCTTCTGAGGCTGTAATCTTATGAGAGCAGATTGCTTCTTCTTTGTCATGTTGAATGGCTGGTGGGTTTGACCACCCACCTGGTGGTTATGTCCAATACTTATCTGACAGTGCCACTCACTGCAAGAATATTTTAGTGAAAAGTCATCGATTTCTACAAAATACAGTACACAAAAATGTATGAACAATAATTTTGAAGTCAACAGCTTCAGATAGTATCACACAGTGTGGTCTGCACCGACCCCCTCAGTCAACTACTTCTGCCACCGCATGCAATTTATGAGCTGTTACGTGACACTGCGAGCTGTTTCAAGTCAGGCAATCATTTTGAAACACATTTGTTATTTTTATTTAAAGTACTTTATTTTCCTGTGACCGAGCTTTTCAATGGTAAAGATTAACCAAACAAAACTCAAGAGACTTCACCAAAAGAGCACATTTAATTTCTTGTGCCTCGATTTATATTTAAGACCTGTAATTCCACAAATGGCCTGCATTCAACTATGCTGACTGGAATGCATCAAAATATTTTAAAAATAAATTCAAATGAAGTTGTAGTCTTATATATATATATGCAATAAACATGCGGAGGGATCCCCTATGGTCTGGTGTGGGAGAAGGTTCATGAGGACTGAAGGAGTGAGACCATGTGTTACTCCACTGGGTGATACCAAGCCTCATGACATCAGGCTGCCTGATGGAGGTGTTATTTAAAGTGTCACATGCATATTTGATAGAATTTTGGGAAGGGGACAGGGGGAGAACTCAATTGAGAAAACCCAATTACAATCAGGATGTATTTAACATTTCAATGAATAAAAATAAGTTGCTAAAAGTACAATTACCTCAATTTTGGTTAAGAGGTCTTGCAGCTCTCCTGATTCATTCATGGACAAAATTTTCTCAGCACCCTATTAACAAGAAAGGGTTGGGAGAAAAGAAAATCCATTTTGTTAGTGTTGAGAAGATAGAGCTTTCATGAGGAAAGCTTAATCCACAAAGTACCAAATACAATACAAATCCACGCCAATGTATGACCAAGAAACCCAGAAGAGATCAAAGGGCCCCTTCTGTTCATTCTCCCATGTGGCAAGGCTACTGACAGCAGACAAAGGAGAGACTCCTGCAGCAAGTGAGAGCTGGGAAAGCAGATCAGAAGGGCCCACTCCTACCCTGTAACATGTTTGGAGGGCGAGAGTCACCTCTGCCATTTGGGAAAAGAGCCTCCAGCCAATCTCATTCTGGTTGTCTCTGACCCTTCAAACCAGTCTTGAACACAGTCCTGCTTAGAGTTGTAAATGTGAAGGTGGTAGCAACTACTGCTACTAATTTTTATTTTGATTTAAGGTACTGTCATCTTTTATTTTAAACTGATAATGTCCTGATTTAGCAGAGTTAAACTGTCCCAAATGGTTCTCTAGACTATAGTCTGTACAGGAGCAGGTTATCTGGTTTTTATGCCGCAGAGTCAGTAGGTGGATTTCAGCTTTCAACCGTTTGGTTAGTAGCATGTGCTAAAGTACCATGCCATTAGTGGTCATATAATAATAATAATAATTACAACATATAACCTTGTAGTGTTGCCTACTTAGGCAGGCTTAGGCAGGAAGTCACTAGGAATGAAATAAAGAGGATATCTACTATATATTTCATTTATCTATATAAGGGGAAGGATTATAGGTCAGGTGAATGGCAGTCTAACTCAAATAACCAGCATAGAAAGTAATGATCCCTAAATCAATTTCTAGGCTTAAACCATTTCTCAGACTCACAATCCCTTGAAGGCAAGAGAGGAGAGGTCCCTTTGAAGAAAGACCCCACTACACTGCAAAAGGTTTATATTGTTAACCTTTCTCCTAGACTTCCTGAAAAGTAATCTTTGGCCTTTTACAAGAATAATTGTTCACTGAAGAAAATGAAATAATAAGACTTTGGGGAGATTTCTAGACACTGGCTATGAATAGAGATTAATTCCAGAAGACCCCCTGAATTTTGAAAGCCTATCAGTCAGAGTGGTGGCCTATGGAGTTCAACTTATTAAAGAAATCTTCCTTCAGGTTTGTCTCAAAATCCCATGATGCAGTGATTTCCCCAGTCCCAGGCTATATTGGTATAGACATACTCAGAAACTGGCGGAATCCCCAGAGAAGATCCCTGGCATATGGAATAAGGGCTATCTTGGTAGTAAAATTCAAGTGGAAACCATTAGAACTTCTTCTGCCTAGGAAAATTGTACGCCAACAGTGATATCACATTTCTGGGGGGATTGTAGAGGTTAGTGCCACCATCTGATCTATGTCAACTATTTGGCCTGTACCAAAAAAAAACAAAAACCGGATCTTCAAGAATTGCAGTGCATTATCATAAACTTAACCAGGCAATGATGCCTATTGCAGCTGCTGTTACAGATGTGGTTTCATTGCTTGAAAAAATATTTTTCCTGGTAGCTGTTATGCAGTTATTAATATGACCAATGTCTTTTTACAATTGCAGTTTCAAAGGGCCACCTAAAGCAGTTTGCCTTTAACTAGTAAGGGCAACAAGACAGTTTTATAACTCTCCTTCAAAATTATATCAACTCTCCCACACTATGCTGTCATTTAGAAACTTGATTACCTCTCCCTTCCGGAAACTGTCACACCAGTGCATTACATTGATGGCATCATGCTGTTCTGACCTGGTAAGGAAGAAGTATCAATCACTCTAGACTCTTTCCAATATTCTCAGCTTCTTAGCACTGATCAGAAATTTAATCAAGTATTGTGCTTTGGAGAGTGGCAGGGAGAAATGAAAAAAAAATTATTAAAGATTTGGCTCTTGAGGAAAAAAATGACTCCTCTACAGAAAATCTGGCGCCTTACTCCTTAGTGAAATTCCCAGTGGTCCAGTGGTGTGGAGCATAGGGCTAAATCGCTACTAACATGAGAGATACATTATTGGATCTGGCTCCTTTCACAACGCAAAAAGAGGTGCAATGTCTGCTGATCCGCTTTAGAAGCAACATATCCCTCATTTTGGTGTGCTACTGCATCCTATTTATCGAATGACTCAAAAATCAACTAGACTTGTGTGGGGCCTAGAACAAGAGAAATCCCTGAGGCAAGTTCAGGTTGCCATGAAAGCTGTTATGCAGCTTGAGCTATCTGATCCAGCAGATCAGTGGTGCTTGAAGTGTCAGTGATCCATAGAGGTGCAGCGTAGCGTCTTTGGCAGACGCTTTTTGGTGAATCATAGCACAGACCCTTAAAAGCAAAGCTCTGCTAACCTCTATAGCCAACTACTCTTCTTTTGAGAAACAGCCTTTGCGCTGTTAAACTGAACCTTAGTGGAAACTGAGTGCCTCAACAAGTCACCATGAGACCTGAGCTGCCACCATGACCTGGGTGTTGACTGATTCACAGAGTCATTAAGTCGGACATACACAAGAGCACTCTATCATTAAATGGAAGTGGCATATACAAGATTGGGCTTGAGCCAGACCTGAATATATAATTAAGCTGCATGAAAAAGTGGCTTAAATGCCTGTGCTCTGTTTCCCCACTATCCTATATAAATATATTTACATATGTACATGCCTGTATTTAGACCCTTTGTCTCTTAGTTCTTTCTTCCATTTCATTTTACTTTCCTCTTGTCCCACTATCATGCTCAGCCTTCATTTGGGCATATATTGATAGGTTTAGTATTAAGGCAGCAGATGGACATTGGACCTCCACTCAAGAGAACACTCTGTTCTTTTAAATTGGCATTCCATGATGCACACCTTCCCGACACGATCACTGAAGACAAATGTGTGCATAAGCAAATGTGGTGAAAAAAGCTGATGGTGCCCAGGTATCAAAAGATACAGCGTCTGGAGTCTTAAAGACTTGCTGGTAAACAAGCCATCTAGCTGAGAAGCATCAAAGCCCACATGGAAGAAGCACACAAGCCTTTAGAAGGGACCAGGTATCAGACATCAAAGAACAAAAAATCATATCAGTGGGTGCCCACTTTTCCAATATGATCACTGAAGACAAATGTGTGCATAAGAAAA